CGACCTGTCTGGGGAAATACCGCACCGAGACATTTTCAGAAAAGCGGCCAACCAGTTGGCAGCCACCGCAGCCACTGATGCTTTCCCTCGGGTTTCGAAATTGTGAGCGCGATATCTAGAACCGTGAACGCGATCACGGTTGTTGAAGAATGAAATTACAGGGTATTGTTGCTATCGAACCTCGGAAAATACTTTGGGAACTCTGAAATCCTAGACACGCGATTGAGGCCATCAATGTCACGTGCCTAGTTAAACGTTCAATTAAGAACCCCGGATATACAGCAGCAACATTAATTTCTGAGGGACCCAATTGGAATCGTGATGCAGGCAAGTTATCGTTGCTCCATAATTCCGGTGTGTCCCCCGACGGGCGGCCGAACGGCGCTAGGATCGGCGTCCATCCTGCCAGCGTCGCCGGCCGGACATCTTCCACCATGCGGGGTCGAGAAAGGGTGTGCGCCGGCCAGCCTGCCAGAAGGATGAGGGTGGGCGAGCACCAATACGCCGCCAACACAGCTTGGCGCCAGACGCCTCTGCACTGTCTGAGAGCATGCATTGACGGAAATCGGTCCCTAGGCCATTAGTTGGTCATTCACTAGAGGCCAATATTTTGCCATCACAGGCGAGATTTCGTGAGATTAAAAAAAGACGGGTGGTGATATCGACACGCACGCAATGTTAGTAAACATCTTCGAAACTGAACGTATTGGTTCAGAAACCAGGCTATATACATTGGTATATACATATATATATATATGTATATATATATATATATATATATATATATATATATATATATATGAAATTTGCAAACACCTGCTCCAAGCAAGAGTAAAGAGTAAATATCTCAAACGATTGCCGGGTTTTGTTTCTTAAAAGTCAAAAAGTTAAATCAAGAATATTTTTTTGAAATGTTCTACAAATTTTGAACGATTTCGTGACTTTTTATGAGCTTCTATGACTGAATATATGCGATAGAGCTTCTGGGTGTGCGGGTGCAGTGAGCCGAGAGCACGCTGCTGTTCGCCGGTATGGCAGTATTCCTTTGTTGTATTCCTTAGTGGTTTTACACTGCCTGGTTATGTTCACCGGTCAGTCTGACCAATACGATCGCTACTGATGGGTTTGTGTGGTGTGACGCCAGATGTATGCCTCCATTGACAGCATATTTCGTTCGGCTGACGTCGCGGCTGTCTTGAGTGTTATCACGTTTCAGAGATGAGGGTGCGGAAAATCTGAATTGGGGGGAGGTTAAGCTGGAAACAACCTGTGGGTGGAAGTCAAATTAGGGGGTAGCCTGACCTGAAAGTGGCTTATATATGAGAAAAGATGAAAAACGTGGTTTCACCGGGAATGATGACTGGGACAAAGCCCATTTGGAGAAAATTGGAAGGCATGACCTTCCCCGTGGTAGCTGGTGACTCATGGGTGTACCCAGCTCAGTTGGCACTCATGCCACATGTAACTTGGTGCACCATCCAGTGGCATTTTAATGATAAACAAACGAAGCTCGTTTTAGCCGTTAAGACGACTTCCGAAGACGCTATGCCACTGCTTTTGACGGAAGTGTCATTTTTTAGTGAATTATTATGGACCGAACCTGGATCCTGGTGACCTGCCCACTTCTCAACGGATTTAGCTCCTTTTGTTTCGGCAATAGGCAGGTTATGTTGTCAATTTTTGCACCATTTAAAAAGATCTTTCATTCAAGCTTCATAGCGGTCGTGCATGGACGGATCCAGAGAGAGGGGGGGGGGGGGAGCAGGGCACTGGGGGCATGTGCCCCTTCTGCCTTTGGGCGCCGAAAGCACACTCTTCTGGCGGTCATAGTCGACGGCACGTATACTTGGTTATGGGAACTGTAACAGAGCTAATCATGAAGGACTTCGGTCATTCTCGTACTCCGGAGCTCTTCAGTTTAACCTCTCAGACCCTTGCGTGTCTTGTGGCCCCAACTATGTACAATGTATTACATCCTTTATCCGCTCAGCTGTTACCTGTTATCTGGCAGTGAGCGCAAACACGACTTTGTATGGCGAGGGAAGGCGTGTTATAGTGTTGGTATGTTTACTACTTTATACGGCAAAACATATATGGTCCGTTACTATAGGGCCGTACATGTCTAGTTACATTAACGGATCTAGTAACGAGATTTGAGTCGTAGTCATTTTGCCAAATTACACGATTTACTGCAATTTGACTTCTTTTGTTTGGATCTAGGTCTCAGCGTCTCACGTGTAAAAACTCTATTCTATTTATATGCTATTTTTATCTTACGTGTAAAATTCAATTTTTTAATGACGTCATGACATGAACAATTGTCGTCAACAGCATTATCAAAATCCATAATGCTCAAGAACATTAAGTTGTGTTATTGAGCATTCAACAACACAATTTCAACAGCAATTCACATTTAACAGTAGTTGTGTGGGATTCGGGGTAAGAGCAAACGGCTTCAATTCGATGTATATGAATGCACTTTAATCGCGGCGGTGATGATGAGTTTTTGTAACAGTGATGTACGAAATGCACATTCTATGAAAAGGACTGCCACATGCATGCCTATTATCGAATTGTTGTGGCGTCGTCTGAGGTGTGCGTAAATTCCGTTCAATGGAGGCATGTCAAATTATGCTTGCCCTTTTTAGTTCATGTGGGCTAGTTCTTCGTCAGCATAACAAAGTGATAAATGACCAGCCTACGAAACAAGCTTGACTTACACGCTTAAGACAGCACATCATCAAATGTATCGATATGTGCTGCACACAACGATGCACCTGAAACCCTTGCAACTTGAAAGGTCCAATTAATCACGAATCATCGAAGCCCCTAAAATGGTAGAAGAACGTGTTTATTTGAAACACATTGGACACATAACTCCAGATGAAGCTGAAACTTTCCCCTGATGGTTTGCCGAAAAGCGTAAGGCTGTCAAAAACAATACCACTGTTCTTATTAATTGTGTCAAGCATTCATTCGAGTTTGACACGGGTGACTGCGTGTTAGATGACAGGTGATACCCTTTGACAAAAAAGATGGTTAAGAAGTAAGTTACAGATATCGTCTCTCTGCGAAACCGTTGGCTGCAATGCGTGCAATAATGCAATACTCGCAATAAGAACTATATTACCGCGCAGACACCAATCATCATGATGGAAGCCCAACTTCGATAAAGCGCTGAATCTATGCTGACCGCATTTGGGGTGTGGCGAAACACGTCGCGGTAGGTTCGCCTTATAGAATAAGTGCTCATATGTGGCTCGCCAACGAGGGCCAGTTACCCCTTGACTTACTCGTTGTCAGCCTGGTTAAAGCGCAGCCGGCAGCCTTTAGTCGTATGACACGGTAAAGGTCCTTTCATACTGTTTGGATAAGAGAGCGAGGGAAAATGGAGCTGTTAAAGATGTACTACAATAATGAAATAGTGTGTTACGAATGCTTTCAGTAAACTATGTTTAGCATGGAAGCAGGTTAAGAAAGCTTTCCCGGCAAAATTTCCGTTCTTTACATGGTTTTGCATTTTGTGACTGATCTGGATCCCCATAATCTGCATTAGCGATGCCTCGCAACATGAAAGATTAATTGCGACCTAATTTTGTTTCCTATGAGATTTTACAACTAAGAGTGAGCAACGTAATATCATGTTTGAGTGCGGGGAAAGTGCCTGGGGTTAAATTTGACGGGGAAAAATGAAATGAAATTATGAATGATTCACCCCAATGTCTAAGGTTACTCCTCAATTGAGCACGTAATATTTTGGTTGTGGCTTCGGGTTACCCAGCTGCACCCTCTATGGCGATGCCACTACAAGGAAGGTTCGAAGAAGATCGTTTTTGTGTAATGGTCCGATTTTTTCCAACGTGTTGTTATAATATTCCAGCCCGAAACATTAGTGGCGAGGGGGGGAGGGGGCGGGCCCTCACAAAAGAGTACAAAGCGACACCCATGGCCTTTGAAGACACGTGTTTTGTGTCTTCTGTTTGTGTCCTGCACCCTTTTCGGCGGCACCTGGATTGTCGCGAACTTCGGGATACAGACATCGGTCATTGCCCTGGCAGTGTTCAGAGCATTGCCCTGCAGGCTCGAGGAAAGGGCGAATCGCTGTCACGGCGTTTTACGGAGACCTCCAAGTAATCAAATTGGGCTTTTCATCGGATTACACAACACCGCATTGGTTTGACAGGGGGGGGGGGGGGGAGGGCAATATATTGTAAGCCCAAAGTCCAGAGTTATTTTGTATTTTTTCCTGAAATCTATGGCTTTTGACATGTTATTACATACCTACCAAAGCATGCCATAAATTTAGTTTAGAGGGTGCATGCGCGATCAAGGGCCACCATATGCGCAAGGCTGTTCTTTCTTCTCAAAGCTGGGGCTGGAAAGCTTTGCTACGCTGAATAGAGAACGATACCAATGGGTTTAGCAGCGTTTGCGACCTTTTGATCGTAGATGTAAGGGCCGGCGTATTTTGTCTGAGGGCGAATCCAAAACTCCGTATCAGGTGACCAACGCCGCCTCGGGGGCAACAGGTCAATTGTGTCCTGATTTTTCGTAACTCGATGCATTTCTCTTCATCTAGTGGGAGTGTTCCAAAACAAACTCCCTTGGTGAAAGATATTCTGCTTTCTTCGAAGTGTTGACTCTGGAGATCTCATTTCTTGCAAGACTTTGACCATTTTGGGGGCAACGCGCATGATCCAGGTGCCTCCTTTCTCCTGGATCCGCCCATGGTTTATTGTCGCAGAATCTACCAGCTGCAAAATGCAACGCAAAATACGAAAATCTCGATCTATATTCAAATGGCCGGCGTTGCAGCGGTATCGGTAATAAGCTTTGGATACATTTCTGTCAAGACATCTCGTTACAATAGTGTTCGTTTTTGTCGCCGTAAAAATCCAGGTTGGCCATTTGCGGTACGTGTGTTGTCCACCACTACGGATATTATTGGTCATGATGGCGCAGATGTGACGAGCAGCGGAGTTTTATAGCAGCAGGGTCCGGGGGTTCCGGTGCCGGGTTGAGAGATATGGCAATGCACTGCGAACTCTGATTTTGCGGTCATCGAATTGAGCTGACTGGTAAGCTCAAATTTTACATTCCAGGACGCGGGAGACTCTTAAGATTCGCTGCGTTTTAATACAGATTGCGGTGCCCCGTCGCTGTTGATACATTGATTTGGTTATGCTTGATGCGTCGCCTTATCCCGATTTGTGCTGCATTTGAAACTTAGTGTGATATTCTGCACACAAAATTAATTGTTTAAGTTCTAAACATGCAGCACAGGATGAAAACACTCCATCACTTGGCTTTCATTCTGCAAAGAAATGTACAGCATGTAGTAGGTGAATTGTATTGTAAATGTCATGGAATGCTCAACATAATTCAAAATCTGCAGGTTAGACACATTTCCAGTACCAATTTCGACGTGTGGAGGCCAGTTTTGGGTAACTTCAAGCACAAAATCACTGCAGTATCCAAAAGTATTTGTTTGAAGCTAACATGGCTTCTAAATTTAGGGCAATTTAGCTTGAACTACTCATGCATACATTCCAATCACTCATGGGCTCCTTGAGATATTATGCCATAAGCTTAACATATAATATATATATATATATATATATATATATATATATATATATAATATATATATATATATATATATATATATTATGTACAATGGATTAAGCTCATAAGTATCACCTTTCCATCTGGCCTAATAGATGGTTTCTCAGACTGGCTTGGCATGTGTGAAAAGTTATTTATCAATATTGATCATTTCAGACATTAAGTGTTGAACTGGCCTGTCTCTAAAACCTATTGTGCCTGGAATAAGAACCACTGCCAAAAAACCGCCAATGAGCATTGCGCCCCTGACTGTTCTTAACAGAAAATGTCAATTTTGCTTGACATGGGTGAGTTATGCTCATTCTCAAAGGTGTAAGCAGCCAGGTCGCCACCATCATTTGCATTGAAAGGACAGAAACTAGGTTGGGAGAGAAATTGGTGAGGACCTTCTCCCAGGGAAAGCCTGATAATTTGTCTGAATGTTCTGGAAATTTTTATATCCTGTGATTTGTTAGATTCATTTATACTTTGGCATAAGGAGAGAAGTTGTCCTGATGCCTCCTTCTGTGAAGATCTCAGCACAAACAGTTGATGTGCATGACATTTGTAACAATGTGATGTGTTGAAACTGAATAGCAGCTCCTGTCAGTGATAACATTTTTATTTGGAGCTATTTTAAAAGTTTTTTGCAACACTTTCGTTCTTTGGTATTCTGTATAATGTAACCCAACAGCCTCTACTCATTCAAATTGCTATTGAGGAAGTATGCTCAGTACAGGCTGCTTAATAATGTAGTACTGCTTGCTTCGTATTTTGCCCCCACACCATTCCATTAGCACATTTAAGATCACACTCAAATAGAAGCCTTGAACTGTTTTCATGTAGGCCCCACATATTTTTGTCATAGTAGGATCTTCCTCGCCAGTCCATCACCTCACATCAACTTGTACATCCTACACACACTGAATCTTAAATTGCTTTGTTTGCAGCTTGAACAGCACTCCGACCTGTGCTATTGCCATGATGCTGTGCCGTTGGCTGCAGCTGGAGCTGCTGCGACCGTGCGGCCGCGCCGTGCGCTTCGTCCGCTGTCGGCGCATCCCACAGTCGCCCCAGTCCCGCTCCTGCTCGAGCGGGCCTCCGCTGCTGATCGACGGCGCCGCCTACCAGCCGGACTCGTGGACCAACGTGACAGCCGCGCGTGCTGCAGCTGGTCGGCCGCCGACTACACGAGCAGCCGCACCACCCGCTCTGCCTGCTGAAGCAGCGCGTCACGCGATACATGCACGGTGCCTTCCGCAACGCGCGCGGTAACCCGCTCTTCTCGCTGCACGAGCGGCTGGGGCCGGTGGTGAGCGTGGCGCAGAACTTCGACAGCCTGCTGGTGCCCGCCGACCACCCGAGCCGGCGCCGCAGCGATAACTACTACGTGTGTGCCGACCGCGTGCTGCGGGCGCACACGAGCGCGCACCAGGCCGAGCTCCTGGCGGCCGGGCTCGACGCATTCCTGGTGGCCGGCGACGTGTACCGGCGCGACGAGATCGACCGCACCCACTACCCGGTGTTCCACCAGATGGAGGGCGTGCGCGTGCAGAACCGCGAACAGGTGAGCGCCGGCTCGCGGGGCATGGTGAGAGCGGAGGCTGGAGGCTGGAGAGCTTGGGGTGATTGGCGGGGATAGCGAAAGGATCCGGATGCGTTGGATACGTTGCAAGATTCTGGTTGTGTCGGAGCGAAGCATGGTGCCTACGTAAATCGTCTGAGTTGGTCGGCGCGCTGTATCGTGCGATGTTTTCGCTTCTGCTGACCATTTGCGGTCTCCTCCATCCTTCCTTCCATCCTGACCAAAGGGGCGTGCAACACAGAAGCCTTGCAGCGCCCTTTAACCCCCGCCTTTCGCGCGATCAACCACTTTCCCTCCTAACCGGGGTGCCAACCGCACTGCCGTGGTGCAGCACACCCTAGGTTCTGCCGTCTAGTGCTGAGCTGCACCTGCCCCAGAGCCGCTAGTGCCGGGGCACTTTGTGACCACGGTCTGCTGGCGTTGGAACGCCCTCTGTCCCCGGTCCGCTGGTACTGGGGTGCTCCCTGATCCCGGCCCGCTGATTTTGGGGTGCCCTTTGGCCCCGGTCCGCTGTTTTTGGGGTGCCCTCTGACCCCAGTCCGCTGGTGGTGGGGCGCCCCCTGACCCCGGCCCGGCTCGTGTTCCAGCTGTTTGGTCCACTGGCCGCCCCGGAGCTGCGCCTGTTCGAGCCGTCGCCGGTCCCGCGGCGGCCCGAGCGGCAGCAGGTCCACACGCTCGAGGCCGTCAAGCTGATGGAGCACGACCTCAAGACGTGCCTTGAGGGGCTTGCTCGACGCCTCTTCGGCGCCGGTGAGGGATCGAGGAGGGGGGGGGGGGGGGGGCTGAGGAATGAGGAGACGGGTTTGACCGGGTGAGGAGCCGCCTTGTCACGGTCCGCAGGGGGAATCCTGCTGGGTCGGCTGCGGGACGAGGGGAGGAGTCACGCTGGGTCAGCAGGTATCAGCATACCTTAAGTGGGTGGCTTGTGCCACGTGGCTCCGGAAACGATACCATCTGCGCGTAGAAGGACTGGGCCCACATGAATGGCCGTATTTCATGCTCCCTGGAATGAACAGAATATTCTGGCTCCAAGAACAGTTTGCAACCCTAGTAAGTTACACGCCCCTGAAATGTTATTATTTCTGCCATTTTGTCCTCTGTTGTAACGTTTTGGATTGCAGCGTCAACAAAATAAAAGCGCCACTTTGTGATGCCTACCGTTGAGCCTGATGTAGCAGCTAAGCTCTCCAGAATGTTAACAGCAGCAGAGAAAACTCAGACAAAAGTAATAACCATGGAAATCAGGAGATTGTCTGCAAGTTTCCACATACTTAGCTGAAGAAAATGGCACGGGGGCTCAGTCCTTTTGACGTGTTGTTATTTTTGACCAGCGGGTGAACGGTGACCAGTTCCGTGAAGTGCTAGGGCAGGAGGTAATGCCAGTGTCGGCGACCTGTGATGTGTTCTGACCGGACGTGTGGCTGGCCTAGGGCATGAAGGGGGGGGGGGGGGACAATTGCTGGGATTTTCAACACTGCGGAATCGATGTGATATTTCGACGCCAAATGGCCTGAAATGTTAGGTGCGTCATTTAGCGCGTACAACAGCGACATCGCTGTAACGTTGCAGCACCATTAGAAAAAGCCGGCTGACGAAGACGGCCAGCCGCTCAGGCGTGGAGGATCGCATCACGCTCTGCGCGTGCGATGGACTGGCTGTGGTTTGGCCCAGTTACGCGGCGTCGACTGACGCCCAAGTCACCCGTCGTCCGCAGACATTGAGTTCCGCTGGGTGGACTGCTACTTTCCCTTCACCCACCCGTCCTGGGAGCTGGAGGTGCAGCTGGACGGCGATTGGATGGAGGTGCTCGGCTGTGGCATCATGGAGCACCAGATACTCGAGAACAGTGAGGCACTGACGCGCAGCGTTCACCTGGTGGATCGTTGGGGAACGGGAACAGAACGGAATTGACGGACGGGAACGGAACGTGATGGCGGTGTGTGATGCCGCTGCCTGTATGGGTGCAGCTGTGGATAGATGATGTTTTGGCTCCATAAAAATATTTCATTCGAAAATGTTTTGTGGTATATCACAGAGGAACATGAGGATGCTCATAACCTGTCTGCAATCAGATTTGAAAAAAGTTGCTTGTATCTTTTCAAAAATGAAACTCGCAGCTGGATGATGCCTCCTTCTTTATCTCACAATTGTCAGACGTGCTGAGTGTGTGATGTAACTCCTTACCAGGGTGCAACGCAGTTATTTGTTCGTCAAAATGATTATTTTACCAATTACTTTACTGATCTCGCGTCCGAAACCCCTGCTGGGAGCAAGCTTGGGCTAAGCTCCTGCGTGGTGTCAATAGGTGGCGTTGGTGACCGTATCGGCTGGGCGTTCGGTCTCGGCCTGGAGCGACTCGCCATGAAGCTGTATGATATTCCGGACATTCGGCTGTTCTGGTCACGTGACACGGGCTTTCTCAACCAGTTCCGTGTGGAAGACTGCGAACAGAAGATACGGTACAAGGTGGGCATGCTCTACATTGTGTGACAGTTGAGCTGGATATATGCATATCTATATCTATATGTCTGTATTGATATATATATATATATATATATATATATATATATATATATATATATCATGAAGAATACGTTGTCTATCCATTTTATGCTCGCAACTAGACTTCTTTTGAATAGGCCCCTATTCAGTTGTGGGGGCCTGTGACCCCTGACTCTTTTGTTTCCTCCCCTTCCCTTCTCTTTGTGATGAGCCTGCTGAACTTGGAATTTGGCACAAATTATGCCCATGTGTGAAATCCACGGAGAAATGATTTTCGGGCCGGAATAGGCTTGGCTTGATGCCACTTGTTCAGCTATGTTAGCCAGCCAGGCCAGCCAGGGGCGCCGGTTATTCTCGCGCGCGTGCCAACGCTTCTGTCCGCTGCCACCTGAAGCTGTGCTCACGGTACGCACCCGGTGCATGCACCGCCCTGTCGTGACGTCGCCGCGGATCTGGTGTCACGTGACACGGCCGGTCTGTCTGCGCCAGCTGGTGAGCCAGCACCCCCAGTGCAGCAACGATCTGAGCTTCTGGCTGCCGGCGGGCGACGCGTACTCGTCGGCCGACTTCTACGACCTGGTCCGGACACTGGGCGGCGACCTCGTGGAACAGGTGAGCAGCGCTGCCGCCTGGCGGGACAGGTGAGCAGTACGACCGCCTGGTGGGACAGGTGAGCAGCACGGCCACCTGGTGGGACAGGTGAGCAGCACTGCCGCCTGGTGGAACAGGTGAGCAGCGCTGCCGCCTGGTAGGACAGGTGAGCAGTACGGCCGCCTGGTGGGACAGGTGAGCAGCACTGCCGCCCGGTGGAACAGGTGAGCAGCGCTGCCGCCTGGTAGGACAGGTGAGCAGTACGGCCGCCTGGTGGGGCAGGTGAGCAGGTGAGCAGTGCGGCCGCCTGGTGGAGCAGGTGAGCAGCGCTGCCGCCGGGTGGGACAGGTGAGCAGTGTCGCGACCTCGTCAACCTGTCCACCTTGTTGAGTTGCCCGGTACATACACACCACGCTCAGATGGGCCGCGCCGTCACGTGACCAACCCAGTTAGCCCTTGACATTGACCTGTAGCGGCCGCGGGGGCAACGCGCGTGTTCAGTCTCCCAGGGCCTCGCCTGCAAGGCGACAGGGCTGCTCGGAGCAAAGTGCAAACACTTCCTCGGGGCTTGGGCGTTTCTGAGCGCTGTTCCGTATGCGACTCGCCTTCTTGTGTTATAACACTGGAGCACTCAAACAGGACCGGTCCGGCCGTAGCCTCGCTGGTTGATATGTTCGAGACTCGACCTAGGTGGCGTGTGATCCACTCAGCACAAGGTTGATTGCCATAGTGTGTGGGCATGCGTATGTGAGACTGACCTAGCGCTCTAGAGGCAGAACGTGGTCGGGGGGGGGGGGGGGGGCGTTGCGGCTGAGTTGCGTCAAAGCGGTGCATATGCCCCGGCCGTTCACTGGGCCTGGCCTGCGGAGCCACCGACGGATCCCGTGGGGGCTTGGTAGGGTGAAAAGCAGAGCGATGCTCGCGATGGTCGCCAGCCGGTCTGCGGCGGCGGTGTCTGGTGTGCGCGGCGCCGTCTCGCCGGACGACGCGGCTAACCCCGCGCCGCCGGCAGGTCTCACTCGTCGACGAGTTCCGACACCCGAAGACGGGCCGCGCCTCGCACTGCTACCGCATCACGTACCGGCACATGGAGCGCACGCTGACGCAGGCCGAGGTCAACGGCCTGCACGAGCGGATAGCGCAGGCAGCCGCCCAGCAGCTGGCGGTGTCGGTCCGGTGACGGGGCGCCGCTCAGCTGACGGCTGGGGGGGGGGGGGGGGGGGGGGGGGGCGGAAGCTGCAGCCGCCGGCGCTCTGTGCTAGCTTGGTGATGCTGCCACCGCTGACGCCGCCAGCTGGCATGTTGTTTGGTGCGTGACGTGGGCCATCGGACTTCGGTGAAATGCAAGTTGATGACGGGCGACGGTTGGTTGTTTGGATCCAAGCCTGCGGAACCGGCGCGTCGTTTAGCTCCAATGGCAGGATGCTCCGGATCCGGATTGCCCTTTTGTGATTCCGGTATTCCTGGAATGAAAATCGGCACCAGAGTTGACGTGCTCCGATGATGAATCGTGGCATGAAAAACTACCTCGAGAATCTGGTGCGTTGCAAGAGCAAAACTGATATCGCGGCGCGGGAAGAGAGGTATGAGGACGTGAGCGCACGGCGGTGTGCTGTGCATATATTACCAAAGCATAGCGAAGCGAGTCAAACGCTGGTGCGAACTCCTAAATTCGGTCTCATCAACGTGTTGGAATAAAGGACTGTCATTGGTTTAAAAGGCCCATGTCCAAGGATCTCATTCTCGCGCCATTCTTTCCCATTTTAATGCCATTTTTGCGCAAATTTGATCATTTCAAGTTAAGTGGTTTTACAGTGCTGCAGGAAGCCTAGAGATTCGGCAGATGCGTCCCGTGCATCCGTATGCGGTTGGTCATACAGACGAGATTTCCCGTAATGCTGCTGAATCACCGGAGATGACTACCCCATTCTGTCAACGCGAGGTTCACACTCACACCGGCCTGAAGTGTAAAAGACGGTGTCTTCACTTAAACATTATGTCATCATGCATAAGCGTAAGTGTATGGTGCGATATGATGCATTACGACGGTTTGCGCCTCATAATCAATGTCACGGCCCACGCCTTGTGTGAAGATTTTATTTCTTGGTGCTGAACTCCGTGGTGATACGTCCAGTGATTGGAAACGGACAAAGGCTCGTGCACAGTGCGACTCGCCGGGCTGGGACTACAAATGTCCGGTCTGTTGACGTCCTGACAATCTCGGCCTGTGACCTTGATTTGTGTTAGCGGACAGACTTGGCGCTGGTTGCTTCATCTGCGTCGGCATGTAGCCGCCCCAGCCTATCTTACCGGAAACAGCGAGACTGTCCGCATGCCACGCAGCACATTCTCGGCATCAGCGGAGGCCCAGCACCCGACGCTCTGCCGACTGACCCGTGTTGACCGCGCCCGTTTCCACAGCAGCGCCGCTGCCAGACGGTTACCGCTGCACGACTTCGCCTGACCAACGGAGCGACATTCGCTTGACCGGCGTCGTCATGACGACGGAATGGCCGGCCGGGCGGGGTGCTCGATGGGCCTCTTCACTGGCGTTGGCGGAGTGCTGGCGCCAACACGTGCAGCCAGCCTGTGGTCGGGGCCACTCAACTCGGCACGTTGTGACGCGGATCAACAGCTGTCCGTTCGCAGCACCGGGACGGTGGGTCATCGGGAGGAAAGCAATGCCAAGCTAGACGTCCTGTCACCACTCTCGAACGCCAGCCGACTGTCTGGTCCTCATCCTTACTAGACGGAAACGTGTGTAAAACCGCTCTGACTACCAGCACCTCACCCTCGCCGAAAGCCTAGAGCCAACCTTGCTCGTCCTCGCGGATCAGGAGCTTTCTGACCACCCTTAACGCCTGTTGCTTGCCGGCAACCCCCAATCGGCCTGCCCGGCGTCAGTCAGACCTGCGCCAGTCCGCCAGCACGCAGTCTGGTCCACCTCCAGTGTGAAGTCTTGAGCAGTCGCGGTCCCTGTGTCAGCATGTGGCGCCGAGCCGTCGCGTTGACCTGGCTTCTGCTCGGCCCGGGTCTCTACATGGTGATAAGTCCCGCCTCGGGGATGATTCACAAGCTGAAACTCACGCGTGCCCCGTCGTTCTACGACGCCAGCGTGGTGACACTGTCGCCGGTGGACGCCGACTCGGCCGTCATGTGCGCTCTCCGATGCCGGAAGAGCAGCTGCCTGACTCTGGTCTACGACAGCGCCCATCAGCACCCCTGCCGGTTCGCCTCAAAGGGTGCGCTGCCGGACCCTTTCACGACGGTGACGACGGATGGCACCGAGCGCATCCTTTCCCAAATGGCGGCGCCGGCGGGCTTCATGCAGGGGCCCGGCTACAAGGCGTACGTTTTGGACACTTCGGACACGAACCTGGTGAATAAAGCGAGCGCGGATGCTACCTGCCAGTCGCTGTCGGCCAAGTCACTGGAACCGAGAGATACTGCGTCCTTTGCGTTCATAATGCTCTTGCATTCCATCAGTTACATGTTAAGCCCGGTGAAGTCAGTGCACACCAACTTCCAGGTGGACACATCCTCGCATGACCCCAGGCTGCTGAAGGCATCTGGATCGACCTTCATGGTTCCGTATGAGTGGTGGCAGGCGCCGCCGACGCCTCACTTCTTCGGCGGTCCCGAATGTAGCTCCATTGTCGCCCCCGAAGGCAAGCTGCAGGTGAGCTCCTGCGACGCACTGTACCACTTGGGCTGCGAGATGTTCCTACCCGACTTCTTCATGCTGGGCGATTCTCACGGCCCGTAGAGGCAGTGGTGGACAACGCGCAGTCCTTTCAGGTGGGGTAGATGTGAGAGCCACAGTGGCTCGAACGCCGGAAAGAAAAGCTCTCGGCGCACTTTGATTTCATGCAACGGTGGACGGCAAACGCTAAGTTCTTGAAAGTTTGCCCTAAGGGATTGGTTTTGCTGTCCACTTGTGTTTCTAAGCCACTGCAAGCTGCACCCCCAGAGTGTCCCCCTGCCGGCTAACGACTCGAAAAGAGATGGTTATGGGCAACACAGAGCACGTTGACAAGAGCTCCAACGGTGGACTAAACAATGATGCCAATTGGCCGTGGCCGGGCTCATTCGTTCCTTATGCATGCGTCCAGGCACGCTTGGGCTTGCTAGCTTGTTCGATCAGCACGGAAAGAACATGCCAGTTTGTTGGCAGCGGCGGTGGTCTCTGTTTTGTCACTCGCCTCATGTGGAGAAGGCCAGAGCACTCGCGATGAATGTGATAAGGTAAGAGAAGTAGTTTAGGAACGCTTCTGTTCAACTCACAGTCTGTATTGTTCTGACCTAGCGAAGGCATTGGACGGTCTGCTATCGTTACGTCGTCATCGGCGACTGTCATCGTGCGTGTTTCTTACGCCAGAGGGCATGACCACGTGTCCAACCACGGATGGTATTTGACAGTCAGGTTCTCGCCTGACCTCTGCCCGTATGTCGACGGTTGTATCAATACAAAACTTTATGTGGCGGCGTGGAAAGTCGAGATTCCCACGGATCCTTAAACGTAGCAGCTGCCTGGCGATCATCTGCTTCTCATCACACTTCGAGAGCACGAATAAGCTCCGCATTCCAAGCAAAGCTAGCCGGGCTTGCTGTAAGTCCCGCTCATCAAACCTGCTCCGTATCATTAGAAAGAGGGGCGCCAACATGAGTACGCTGCACGTTGTCGGTTTCATTTTCGGCGGGCTCAGCCACCTCTAAGAAGGTTTACTCGCGCATTTCGACATGGTCAATGTCTGAGGCAGATCGAGTGTGCTGCCGGCACCAAGGTCACCGGCGCTACCTGGGTGTTACCTGGATGCTACCCATGACGCGCATGAAACAGCAAAACGCGGCACAGACCAACAGCACGGCACGTGCAGTAGTGCATCAGCTCTCGATACGGAAATTGCGAAGTGTTAGAAAGTATGCATCTGCCAAAGCCGTACCTGCAAACTAGCCCCTTCTAATCACTCATAATATACACACTTTAATCCCAATGCCAGTCAATATGTCAATAATTGCCCAGCTAGGAGACGTGATACTTATGGTAACAACGGTCGGGTAACCCGCAGCAAACGGAACGTCGTCTTGCACGCTTGTACACCCGATACACTGCGCAGTAGTCATATTTCGCATCACGTTTTTCATGAGACGCGGCATCGTGGCTGGCAAAATGTTCCTTGAAAACTGCCGCACTTAATGTCCACATGACAGACAATAAGCTTGGACCATGTTTCACATATCGATTTAGTCCATCGTTTGGGTTGTCACGAAAAGCCGTGTCGTGCACGTACGTACGCACGTACGTATTCGTGTCGTGCACGTACGGATATTGCCATGCGAAGAGAAAATAACTCAGCCGCATGCTTTTTCACGTGAAAATGGCCCTTCGAGCGCGTTTGCGAACGGACAGAACCCTGGCACACGTCAGTGAAAGTGGCCCTTCGAGTGCGTTTGTGAACGAACAGAACTCCAGCACACGTCAGTTAGATAATCATTTTTTGACGTTGCAGCACAAAGCAATGAAACTAGACTAGTGATACCACGCACTTGTTTTCTGCAATGCTTTCGCACCTCTTTGTACTTTTGACTTTACTGCTTTCACGAATTAACTAGAAAGGAGGAACCAAACCGGCTCAACGGTGAAACATGAGAGGTAGTTGCGAAACAAGCATTCTCCTTCTCTCCCTCTCTATCCTCTTTTCCTTCTCTCTTTTCTCTCTTTCTCTTTTCTTCTCCTCTCTTTTCTCTCTCTTCTCTCTTTCTTTCTCTCCCCACTCTCTCTAATTGCTTCTCTTCTCCTTATCTAGAAAGGAGGAACCAAACGGCTCTACGGTCTCGCTCTCTCCCCTCTCTTCTCTCCTGCTTCTTAACAGCTCTCTCTCTCTCTCTACTCTCTCTCTCTCTCTCCTCTCTCTCTCTCTCTCTTCTCTTTCTTCTCTCTCTCTCTCTCTCTTCTCTCTCTCTTTCTCTCTCTCTTCCTTCTCTCCTCTCTCTCTCTCCTCTCTCTCTCCTTCTCTCTTCTCTCCCTCCCCTCTCCTCCTCTCTCATCTCCTCTACTCTCTCTTCTCTCTCTCTCTTCTCTCTCCTCTCTTCTCTCTCTCTCTCCTCTCTCACCTCCTCTGCTCTCTTCTCTCTCTCTCTCTCTCTCTATCTCTCTCCTCTCTACCTCTCCCCTCCTCTCTCCTCT